ACCCCAGACACTATACCTTTTGATAGCCGGGCACCATCACCTTTCTTCACAGAAATACTTTTCTTATTCCCAATATTAACTACAGACTTACTGAGAATTCTGAGGGAGGCTCTAATTTGAAAAGTGTTTTGTGGATGGATGCTGATTTCTGCACTTGGTATTTTCTGGTACTTAAAGTGTTGGAATTCTGTCAGGTCCTTTGATAAGGAATTCCCAGTTCTCGTTGATAAGCTTTCCTGGGGGCACGCCAAGTCAAAAGTGTTAGAACGAGTTCTGTGAGCCATATGTTGGAGGTAGGGAGAGGCAGTAGGGCTTTTGTTTCTTAATTGGGTTTTGTTGCCAGTTTGCTTTACAATGATCAGGCCTGTATTGATAGACTATCATTAATTGGAGTCCATACTTTACTCAGGTTTTCCTAGTTTTTACCTGATTTCCTTTCTCTGTTCCAGCATTTTCTATTGCATTAATTAGAATTAGTATGGTTCTATAATGCTTGTAACTTCTTCTTTGGCGCCTTTGGGCTGTGACATTTTTGAAGTGTATTGTCAAGCATTTGAAAAATATCCCTCACTTGGAATTGGTCTGTTTTTCTCATGATTAGGACTGAGAAAGAGCAGAGATGTGCCACTCATTATAGCTCATCAAGGATACATGCTATCCACATGGCCTGCTGCTCTTACTGTTAGCCGGGTCCACCAGGTTTCTCGTAGCCGTGTGACTGTCAGGCCTTTCTACCCTACACTCTGAAAAGAAGCCACTCCACGCAGCTCTCGCTTTGAGTCCACTCTGCACCCACCTCCTCGAGGCAGAGCCGTTCCTCTTCATCCTGCATTTCATCCTGAGTTTCCCTTCCGTGAGGTTAATCTGAGTGTGGATCTTGGGGATTTTCTCAATGGGGTGGTACAATGGTTAAAGTGCTCGTTGAACTCAGGGGCTGGGGATTTGAGACCAGCAGCCACTGGGAGGGAGAAATATATGTCAATCTGCTCACGGAAAGATTTACAGCCTTGGAAACCCCATGGGACAGTTCTACTCGACCTGTAGGGTTGCTCTGAGTTGGAATTGACTTGATGTCAGTGAATTTGGTTTGGTTTTTGGTTTGTCTTTCCCTCAGGGAAAGCTTTGCAAATTTTCAGGCAGATAACTTACTGAGTTTTTGAGCACTTTCCCCTTCTGTTTCCCTGTGGAGAAACATCGGTACCACCCTGTTTCCCCGAAAATAAGATAGTGTCTTACATTAATTTTTGCTCCCAAAGATGCACTAGGTCTTATTTTTCCATGAAGAAGAATATGGTACACATTTATTGTTGAACAACAAAAAAGGAAAT